CTCCTAAATAGTGCACACTAATTACTGCAGAATACTTAAATCATGCTGTTAGATTTGCTAAAATATGGTAGAAAATATCTGAAAACTCAAAATGAAAATGTACAATGTCTTCCAATGAATCATGAATGATAATCTGTTATATGAGGTAAAAAAGAAAAAAGTTACTTTTGAAAAAAAGATTTAAGTTTAGAGAGTTTGGGGTGTTTTTTCCGGAAAAATTTAATGAGATAATTTAATGAACATTGTTGGTCATCTTAAAAGAATTACGGTTAGCAATAAAAATCCAGCAAAGGCAGCCACATAAGACTATTTTCATTGTCTAAAATGTGTTAACTATTTACAGAATAGAAATCCCTAGAATACAGTATTAAGTGGAAAATTTTTCTTTATATATTTGTATTTTAATAAAATAACAGCAATATTCTTCTTAGACATGCATTTTTCCACCTAACAGTATCCGTTTAGTTAATATAAAATTTATTTAGGTAGAAACACCAAAACAAAGATATGACCAATACACTTGTGGAATACAATTAAGGTAGCTCTTCACATTAAACTGCAGGGACCATCTTTGTTTTTCAGATGCCTAGCACAGTGCCTGGCAGACAGCAGATGATCAAAAGATGTTTAATGAATCGCTAAATACAATCTGTTTTGCACATACAGTCAAAATCCAGACAAGTTTGCAAAGGTACATAAGTTGGATATAGGCTTTCTGGCTGACTTCATGGGGGTCCCACTGATGACTAGGAGTATATCTTCATATCCATAGAAAACTGGAAAGTTGATAATTGTCTGGGTAAGGACCAAAAAAACAAAGTCAGGGAAACATGTCACCTAAGTAGCACTTGTTTTATAGAGCTGGTAAAAGCGGCCTAATCATTCCAACAACCTATTGTGCCGGTCAATGAAACAAAATTTAAGTGCATCCTGAACAATTTTTACAAGCATATTTTTAACTGGAATGTGTTGGATCATTGTTGCTTATTCATAATAAATCACTTTTGCCAAACTTTTTCCGGTATAAGAAGGGAATATGTCTTGTTACTATGAGTACCATATAGCTAATAGTATTTACTTTGGCTGTTAATTAGATATAATGAGAGCCACAGTAGGGATAAAGAAAAAACGTTCATGGTAGTGAAAATTGTGGCAAGGGAGGACAAGAAAAGGAGAGGAAACGAATTCCACATATGGAAGTAAAGAAATTCAAATATGCCTAACTCTAAAACTAACACGGATTATGACAAGCTACCAGTAGGACCTACTGTGTACCAGATATTGTGCTGAGAGTAGAAGGATGTGTTAACAAAATAAAAATGTTTGTTTTTAGGCAGTACGTAGGGCAAGACTCACAAGCAAGCATTTATAATAGAATATGCATTCCATTTATTCTTATAAGTATGGGTCCTTAATACAACAGTAAGTATATTTACTGATTAATTGTAAGTGCAGGAGGAAAATAAGTATTAGAGAAAGCTGAAATTATCTTCAAAATAGTAATAACCTACAATAAGTACAATTAGTACGTCTTTAAAAAATTAACAAATTACTGAATTTAAGTAGACAAAATAATAGCTTTAAAGCTATTCACCTTAATATTCGTACAATAATATGCCCCCATATGAAATCCTCAAGTGGTATACCCAGAACTGTACATAATAGTTTCATTTCTGACAAAGGAAATGAGGTAGTGCAGCATAGTGAGCATCAGGAGACCTGAGTTCTCTGCTCCCTTCTCTGCCACTTACAGGCCTTGGAACCTCAGGCAAGTTCGAGTTCTCAGAACTTCGGCAATATATAGAGTTGGATAAAGTGACCTCCAAGATATCACCCAGTTGAACAATTACAATCCTAAAGAATCAACAGTTCTTAATACTTAACAAGGTTTTCTAAACATAAATCATTATCCAACTCAGATAAAGTCTGGAATCTTCTAACCAAAAGGATCATGGGGGTGAGGGTGAGGGGTGTGATAAAAAATGTTTAAAAAAAAAAAAAGAAACAAAATAAGGAAAGACATTAAACTCAAGACTAAATTTTCACTCAGCTGCCTACTGGGCAACTACCACCCCAATTACCTACATAATTCGCTTACTTAAAATTAATTTCTTCAGTAAGTTCTACTGTCTCTCTCTTACCTTTAAGGTTGCTGAGGTTTTAAGGTGAGAACAAGAAACCTTACAAGGACTTGGAATTGCAGTATTGATGTTGGGAGAAAAACTTGAACTTGACACAGATTTCTGCTTAAGCACACTAATTACATCTCAGAGAAAGGTAAAAAATTGTTCAAATTTATAACAGAAGGGAAATAAGATCATATTGTTTACTGCTATAAAGCTTTTTTATTTCGGTATGTAAATGTCTACTTTTGCACACAGTTGATAATTAAAATTTTACAGAACAAGTTTCTACATATGCAATGCTTTACTGTCACTAAAATATGAGTATATTATGTTTTAACTTTAACCATCAAGCAAATAAAAAATTAGAAGTATTACCATGTCTTTATAATATTTATGCCAAATATACTTCTAGATTTGTATTTCTTCAATCCTTTCTAGTTGATCAAATTGCTGTTTTCATATTGCCAGTCTGATCACAAAATTGCTGCTTTACAGAAGAATATTTTTTGCTGACATAAATTATGGGATCAGAGATACCAATGCAGTTACAAAAAAAAAAAAAAAAGGGTGTGAGGGAGAGAGAGCGAGAGCGACAGAGTGTGTGTATATGCATGTGTGCATCCATCTTCAAGGAGAGAATAAAGAAATGTATATATGAAACAAAATAACACTTTCCAATATAAGCCCTAGTAAAAGGCCTACATCAGAAACATACTTTCTAGCATTTGTGAAATAAAATACAGCACTGGATTTTAAAGCTATGCACTAAGAACATACTATAGAAAAATGAATAGTGATTTTTATCAATACTGTTATTCCATAAACTTAAATCTGGATTTACCTTTCAATTTATAGCTAACCGAAATTAATATACTAACTATAAGTTCATGATTGCTTTGACTCATCAAAACATATTTTAGAAATTTGTGTCCTTTTACATATAGTGAGCAATTTGGTTCAGAATCCGAAGAGAAATTGAGATGAAAAGCTCATCTCAATTTTCAACAGTAAATAAATAATTCAGCTAAAACTGAAAGTGGTAACAATCCAGCAAACTATTGATGGAGAGGTTTGGCCTTCCATGCAGCCAGAACAACATAAAGTTTTCAATGGGGACTACTTGTTCAGACAAGTTACAAAGATTACAAAAATACCCAGATTAATTATAAAATACCTAATATTCTCATCATATGGAAAATAAGTATCAGGAACATATGTGGGAACAGACAATACTAGTGGCATTTAAACTTTAAGCGTTTTAGAGCTTTGGACTTTATATACTGATATATGAAACAGACATTTAACAAAAAAAAAAAAAAAAAAGCAATAATGCAAGTCAAAACCTAACCAAAGGCCTCTACCAACTAAAAATTTGAAATTTTCCATGGAAGTCAGACAAAACGAAAAAATGGAAAATGAAACCCCTAAAGCAAAAACCAATCAAGTCTTCCAACACTAAAGTCAATATCCAAATCTCATACAGGACCAAAAAGGGGAAAACACTCAGGTCTACAAATGGATAAGCAGTTCCAATACAATCCAGATCCCGACATTTTCCCACTCAGAAACAAATGCAGTGAAGCTTTTCCTGGGGAAAAAGAGCTCTCCAATGAATTTTTTTTAAGTGACATCTAGAAAGTGTGCCTCTTTCTGTCTCTTTCCCTGGCGCCTCATTGGAGGAAGGAGGGGGTTGTTTTTGTATTCTCCCCCACTGGAGCAAGACACAATCAGATGTTAGCTGGAGGAGAGAAACCACTTTTGACAACAGCAAATAAAAATAAAAGTGCCCTTCCTCCCCTGACAGGATGGGCACCCCATCTCACACACCCCTCCCTACTCCAACCCCTCCTTCACCCCCCCCCAGCACCACCCCCTCCTCACCCCGGAGCTCCACTGCGTATGTGGTTTGGTGCTACTGTTGCCCCGGAGTGAAAGTCAGAGCCAGAGGAAGGCAATGAAGCCCCCACAGACACACTTACCTTTCCTGCCCCCCACTTTTGAGTGCCTTCCCTGGAGCTGTGGAGGATGACACAAAGGGTAATAAAGGGGGGGAGTGGAGGAGGAGGAGGCGAAGGAGGAGGAGGAGAGCTGGGGAAGTGGCTGCTCCTGGGTGTAGTGAGATGTCTCCAGCCAGGGCCAAGCAGCAGCAGTAGCAGCAGCAGCAGTAGCAGCAGCAGCAGCAGCAACAGCAGCAGCAGCAGCAGCAGCAAAGGGTCTGTGTTGCTAAGAGGCTTTTGGTTTCTTTCTCTCCTCCTCTCACGGCCAAAGAGGAGGAGGGTGGAGGGGGCTCGGGAGGGAGGCGAGTTGGAGGGGTGAGGGGGTAGGAGTCGTGGATGGGGGTTTTCGAAGAAGAAGAAACTCCTTCTCCTCCTCTCTCAGGCTCAATCCCCCTCTCAGAGCTCAGGGCTGGAGGGTGGGGGAAGGAACTCAGCCGCCTTCCCCCCACCCCCCTCAATTCAAGGTTGAAGTGGGATAGAATTAGTGTCCTGTCCCTTTAAAAATAGAAATAAAAGGTGCCCCCCCTCTGCCACTGCCTCTCTCTTCATCATCAGCTGCTGCTGCTGCTGGGGTCTCTCTGCTTGGGGGGGAGGGGGGTTCGGGTAGAAGAGACGGGAGGCACTCACTGCGCATGTCCCTCTCTGACGGGTGGCTGGTTGGTTGAAGGCAGGAGGAGGGGGAGGGGAGGAAATGAGCTATTTTCCCAGAAGGCGCAGAGGCGCTCGCGACCCGGAAGACATTGTAGCAAGGGGTACAGGGGCGGGGGCGGGGAGGAGGAGGAAGTCGCTACGCTTTTAACACCCCCAGCTCCCTCCTCCTTCCTAAGGGAAAGTGGAGGAACGGAAGTGGGCGTGGACGGAGACGAAAGGGGGTCACGTGTTTGGGCGGGAGCGGGGCGGGGTGGGAGAGGTGGTGCGTGCGCGGGGCATGCTGGGAGTGGTTGTGTACCGCCGCCAACAGCAGGTGAAGCCTAGCAGAGGACGCGTCCAGCCGATCCGGTGAAGGAATTCCTGCAGGCGTTGGTACCCCCCTTTGCCCTGGTAAAGGCAGGCTTTTATGCGGGAGGTAATGGTGGGGTAAACTTGCTGCAAACGAAGGCCAGGGGCGTCGGTGGCGAAAGGTAAATCGAAAGGGGGAGGATGGAAGGCTGTGGAGACTGGAAATTGGGAAGGGGGCAGGCTTGTATAGGCCGGGAAGGCCAGGACCAGGCGAGCTCTGTCATTTGGCACCCCCATGAGCCTGCCGACGAATCCTTGACACGTGCAGGGAGTCCTGAGACTAGCTCTGCATCGGGGTGGTAAGTGAGGAGCGTGACGGTCCGAGAAGGGAACTGTGAAGTCTCAGCAGCTGATCCTCATGACTGCAGAACGGGAGACCTGTATCTAGGGACAGAGACAAGTCCTCTGTATGCATTTTGACCAGATGCATCAGACGCGTTGCTTATATTGGATATTGCGCTCTTCATGCCTTACCTCTTAACCCTCCCTGGTATTCTGGAGTGGCTTTGGGGAAGGAGCAGGCAGGGAAGTCTTGAGTGGAGCTTCCCTCCGTGTCTTGCATTGTTGCTACAACACAAAGCCTTTGCTTTCTCTCGGAGAGGGATGTGGGATTGTGTAGTCCTTAATGTTGAGTTTTACGATTGATGAAGAGAAAGGACGTGATCAAAGTTTCCCCTTGTAATGTAGATGATGAGTTTTAAAAGAACCGTTTCGTCTTCTATGGTTACTATTCTTAGTTTTTGAGCCTTTGGTTTCCCAAATGCCAGCTGTTTTTGATGAAAATAATGAATTTCTATCATAAAATTAGAATTCAAATATTTAAGAAAGAATTTATAAATTTACATTAGTAAAGCTTTTATAGTGAAACAGTATTGGTTCTTTTTCACATTGTTTTCATACAATCAATATAAACCATTACAGTCTCAGTTGTTTTGTAAAGGTATTTTGAAGGAATATCATCTTTGTACGTTTTTCAAAAACCAAGAATCTAAAATCCTTCATATTTATTATGTTGGTATTTAATTCTGTTGGGTAGGTTCTTTTTCTTTTTTTCTTTCTTTCTTTCTTTTTTTTTTTTTTTTTTTGAGACAGAGTCTTGCTGTCTCCCAGTGAGTGCAGTGGCGCGATCTAGGCTCACTGCAACTTTGTCTCCTGGATTCAAGCAATTCTCCTGCCTCAGCCTCCCGAGTAGCTGAGACTACAGGCATGTGCCACCACGCCCGGCTAATTTTTTTTGTGTTTTTAGTAGAGACGGGGGTTTCACCATGTTGGTCAGGCTGATCTCGAACTCCTGACCTCAAGTGATCTACCCACCTCGGCCTCCCAAAGTGCTGGGATTACAGGCGTGAGCCACCGCGCCCGGCCGGTGTAGTTTCTTTAGGGGTACACTATCAGTTAAAGTTACTAATTTTCCACATCTTACTTTCTGTAAGTTTGGATAGTGGACCCCATTTGTGCACCATTGCTTAGCCCTTACTATCTGTTGTACTGTGTACGGTAATCATGTCTGATGGAATCAAAAGTAGACTCCTGTGCTTTAAAATTTTCTTTATAGTGTAACCAATTGTCTGCCACTTTGTAATGAAAAAAAAAAAAAAATACAGCAAGGCAATTAATGTGCCTTAGATACAATTTTAAATCTTTTGTGTCTTTTTCCGTACATTTAGTATTTAAGCATGCAAACATCGATACATAGTATAATGAATAGCTATAAAGTGTGAACTCTATGTAACCGCTACCACAGTCAAGAATTAAAATGTTTGTGGCCCCTGAGAAGCTGCCCTCTATATTCTATTCCTGATCATCCCCTTCCTCAGTTCTTTCAGAGGTTAACACTATCCTGATTTTTATGGCAATTATTTACTGCTTTCTTTCTTAGGATTTCTTAACCACCTATGTCAGCATTCCTAAGCAATTTAGATTCGTTTTGCCTGTTTCTTAATTGTAAGTGAATTATATATTACATATCATTATGTATCTTTTTCTCTCATACAGCTAAGATTTAACTCTATTAGTACATTTAGCTCTAGTTCTTATATTGGATTATAGTAATCTATAGTATAAAAAGTATAGTGTAAAAAGTCTTAATGGAAATGAGCCACAGTTTAGTCTAATATTAATAAACATTTGGATTGTCTCGTTTTTAGCAGTTATGAACAATACTATTATGAATGTTCTTGTACATGTATTCTTATGTATATTACCATGGATTTTTGTAGAGTACGTATGTTTATCTTCAAATTCACACCAGTGTATACCCTGACAACAGTATATGGTAGATCCCTTTACTTTTACTGTCTCACCAAGAGTTATTTTTCCTTTTTCCCAAATTGAGGAATGTGGCTTTATCTTATTGTTGTTTTAATTTACTCTGCCCAGGATACTAAAGAGTTTGAACACTTTTTCAAAAACTTACCGGCTATTTGGATTTCCTCTTTCTAGAATTGTCTTTTTAATTCTTAAATCTTTTGTGCATTGTCTTTTTAAATCTTTTGTGGAGGTTTGTTTTTTTGTTTGTTTGTTTGTTTGGTGTTTTAATTGGGTTGTCTGTTTTACTCAGGGATTTCTAGCAGTATGGCCAGTATCTTCTCTGTGCTTGGAGCATTACTCTCTTCTGGGATGGCAACTTTATCTTCATGTAGGTCTTATATGCTATCATTGTTCTTTGAATTTTATATGTAGTTTAAACTCCAGGTAACAAGTTCTATGCTTGTGCTGTTCATTATAGTAGCTACAAGCTGCGTGTGGCTTTTGAGCACTTGAAATGTGGCTAGTGTGACTGAGGAACTGAATTTTTAGTTTTGTTTAGTGTTCAATTAAGTTTAAAAACTGGCACTTGATTCAGTTACTGTGAAACCTTTATGTTTGGAACAACTCAGATACATAAACCTTTCTTAACCTCAAATTATTAAATTATTATTTTTGATTTTTGAAGATTCCGCCTCTCCCCGCTCCCCGCCGCGAAATGGAGTCTCACTCTGTTGCCCAGGCTGGAATCCAGTGGCATGATCTTGGCTCACTGCAACCTCTGCCTCCCAAATTCAAGTGATTCTCCTGCCTCAGCCTCCCGAGTAGCTGGGATTACAAGCATGTGCCACCATGCCTGGCTAATATTTTTATTTTTAGTAGAGGTGAAGTTTTACCATTTTGGCTAGGCTGGTCTCAAACTCCTGACCTCAAGTGATCCACCCATGCTTCAGGATTCCACAAACTTGGAAAGCCTTTTCCTGCATCCTGCTGGTTGTGGAATCATTTTCCCTGAAAAAAGTTGTGGAGATGCTTGAAGAAGTGGTAGTCAGTTGATGAGAGGTCAGGTGAATATGGCAGTTGAAGCAAAACTTTGTGGCCCTGTTTGTTCAACTTTTGAAGTGTTGGTTGCGCAATGTGCTGTTGGGTGTTATTGTGGAAAATTGGGCCCTTTCTGTTGATCCATGCTGGCTGCAGGCATCACAGTTTTAAGTGCATCTCATTGATTTACTGAGCATACTTCTCAGATGTAATGGTGTCTCCAGGATTCAGAAAGCTGTAGTGGATCAGACCGGCAGCAGACCACCAAACAGTTACCATGGCCTTTTTTTGGTGCAAGTTTGGCTTTGGGAAGTGCTTTGGAGCTTCTTCTCGGTCCAGCCACTGAGCTGGTCATTGCTGGTTGTCATATAAAATCAACTTTTTGTTGCACCTCACGGTCTGATTGAGAAATGGTTCATTGTTGTGGAGAATAAGAGAAGACAACACTTAAAATGGTGTTATTTTAAATTTTTGCTCAGCTCATGAGGCACCCACTTGTCAAGCTTTTTCACCTTTCCTATTTGCTTCAAATGCTGAACAACTGTAGAATGGTCGACGTTGAGTGCTTATGTTGAGTTCTTCAGCAACTTCTCCTGTAATTGTAAGAGGATCGATCTGCTTCAATGATTGCTCTCAGTTGGTTGTTGTCAACTCCAGTGGCCTACCACTACACTCCTCATCCTCAAGGCTCTGGTATCCTTTGCAAAACTTCTTGAACCACCACTGCACTGTATGTTCATTAGCAATTCCTGGGCCAAATGCATTGTTGATGTTGTGAGTCGTCTCTGCTGTTTTACGACACATTTTGAACTTGAATAAGAAAATCACTCGACTTTGCTTTTTGTCTAGCATCATTTCCATAGTCCAAAATAAATACAAACAGCAAGTAATAAGTCATTAGCAAAAAAACATAAAGTGAGAAATGCCCATTAAAATGATATATAACATAACCACATTTAGGAATGTATTCCAGTATCAAATGGCAAATTCCAACAATGCAAAATCCACAATTAATTTTGTACCAACCTAATAATTCGTGCTGCTTTGAAGGAAATCTGTCTTTTAGAATTTTTTTTTCTTTTTTTTTTTTTTTGGTTGTAATTTTTCTGATGTTTTTGTGTGGAATTCTTTTTTTCTTTTATTTGTTTGCTGCTCTAGTCAAGTGTGGTTGTAGGGGTAGAGGAAATGTTAAATCATCGTGTGGAATTCTTTATCTTGCCCTGTATTCATCAAGATTATTAAATCAATGCATCAGTATTTTTCTAAAGATATTGGTGATATTCTTGCTGTTTCTAGTTACCTGCTGAAAATTACAATCTTGCTTTTGTTGGCTTAGTATAGTTGCTCCTTAGTATCTGTGGGAGATTGGTTTCAGAACCCCATGCAGACACCGCAATCCACAGGCAGCTCAAATTCCTTATATAACATGCCATAATGTTTGCATACAACCTACACACATCCTCCCACATATTTTAAATAATCTCTAGACTACTTATGGTACCTAATACAATGTAGATGCTATGTAAATATTGTTATACTGTCATGACTTTTTAAAAATTTCTATTATTTTTTATCATCATATTTTTAAAAATATACATATATTTTTAATCCTTGGTTGAGTGAATCTGTGGCTATGAAGGGCCGCCTATATTCGTAGTTCATTTGTTGTTTGTTGGAGATAATTCCAGTTTCTAAATTTTCTAAGTCTGTGTCTGCTAGCTCATGATATTTTTTTCTTGTGTGCCTTGATACCA